TATTCAAGCTAAAGCTCGAGTTTGTTATGTTGCCGGGCGTTAAGTTGCTAGTGTTTAGGGATATATTTCTAAAATATTATTTTCACCCAGGAATGCATTGGTGTCATTGGAAACCAGTATTGGAATGCTGTCTCAAATATGACAATATTATATATATCAAAATTGCACTTTATTAAGCAAAAGTAAGTCGGGAAACTAAATAAATTCAATTTGACCGTAGAATTATAACTTTTCCAAGCCTACTTCGGGTGAGGCTTCATTGAAGACTTAATTGTAAAATGGTGGATCGCATTCCTTCTCTCTGTGGGATCTTATAAATCATGGGGTGAGAAAAACATGTCAGAAAACATATTAAACCTGCACTAAGTTTAGATACACCAACTTCCCCTTCCGCGTCAATCTACTGGACAGGGACGCCAATGAAGCGAGTTGGATGAAGTTCACACTTAGGTGAAGTAGCAGTTTCAACGCTACGATTGTAGAGCTACATTCATATTTTTAATTTAAACATGTTATATCTAAGATCGCAATACAGTATAAAAGTAAGATCATACCGTGACTGAATACCATTTTAGCTAGGAATTCGCCTAAATGGGTTGATAAAGCGAAATGCGCAATTAGGAGTCTACTAACTGAACACGAACACTCTCGATCATATAATTTAGCATCAAAACAATATCCCACAACCTAGCATCAAAACCTCTAAACAAACGGGTAACAGAATATCGTTGTTCCCAAACTCAGGTGACCTTTAAATGTATACATTCTCTTAAAGTGGAATACATGACATTATATTTACATATTTTTCTAATTTATCAAGTGACGGAAACGGACAATACTGGAGTAGTATCCTTAATTTTATCCTGAAGAATATCAGACAATGTTTGATTAATTACACGCGACCACCTCCGGAAAAAGTGCACGTTAGACCATTTTAAAAACCCGGTGCATATTTCTGTTGTATTAACAACGTTTTATCTAATACATTTTCTGTTATTCCTTTACGATTTTAAGAAGTTGTATTTCAATTTTTTATCCTACGATCTGCGGTCTATCCCATTCTATGTTTATTAAATTAAATTCACTTGGACCAAAACCGCTTAGGGGAATCGGAAAAACATCAAATGCTTTGATTGACTTTGCAAATTCCTAATCAATCAGGTCTGTCAGGACATAAACCAGTATTTCAGCTAAACAAAGGGAGGGGTTGGCAACCGTACATATTAACTCTACTTCTGGTCATTAAGACCAAATAACAAACCCGCTTCATTTTTCTCTCCAAACTTTTACCCTCATTAGAAAGCAGTCAGGGTTCATATATCCCTAAATTAAACAAGCATACAGACATATTTCAAACCTGAGCATTCTTCAAGAAGCAAATAAGAACCGCGTCAAAACACACTAGACATTCTAGTATGGGATGAGTTTTGAACGAAAAAGATCAGTTTCAAAGGAGTTTTTCAGACGATTTCGTCTAGCAGTTCACCGAACAGACTGCTTTACAATTATCTCATTCTTCATATCAGCTAAAAGAGAATGAAATTAGGAAGAAACAGCACAAGTTACAACTACAGAGGCAACCGAACAAAGCAGATTTAAAGCAATGGATAGGTCAGCTATATTATTGAAATAATATGTGATTCATGAAGAACTGATAATGAAGTGGAATTACTACTTACAGCCATTTGATGGCGGCACATCCTTCCATGAGAGCGAATGCAAGGAACAACAGCCGAATACATGTTAACTTAACTAACATTTTGTTGATTCTTTAGCTTAATCCCCTCTAAAATACATCAAGGCGGTGGATTATCCGAGCTTCACTTTCAGGAATTATTCCATTGGTGATTGCTTTGAGTTTTCTATGAAATTCCTGATTCAGAGGTATCGTCTATTTGCTCCAAAAGTTCGTCTGTTGAAGTGATGACGTCGAACGAAATTGATTAACTTTGCATAAACGTTGATTTCGATGTCGATTTCATCTGAAATTGACTAGGATTCCAAAATGCGATGTGATTCAAACATGAAAGCGTTCAGTAGCTACGGCAGAATAAGAAATGACACCGGCTGATTAATGGATTTTTATCGCTCTTAAACCCGTACGCTATGCTGTAGAAACTTCCATTCACATTACAAATACGGGAATCTACTTCCGAATTTGAATTATCGAATCATTTTGATCCAGTAACATTTTGCTAATTTTATGACATATCTCGTCTCCGCATTGGCTCTCTGATTTACTCCAAGTGATAACTCACTAAGTCTCCTACGTAAATGTGTGGACTACACAGCTCAGCGTTGCCACCACCTCACAGACGCACATTAAACTATACAATGATGCTTTAACGATGTTTCTGCCAATCTGGACAGAGTAATAATCCTTCTAGTTTTCTAATCCAAATCGTAAATCGCTCTCTTGGGAAAGATATAAAGCATCACATAAACCTGTCATACTAGCTCTGGACACAGCAATAGCGGCAGGCCTACCGGTCAAACCGAGCGGTCAATTTGTCCATAAATTCTGAACTGCAACTCCTAGAATTCCAAATGAGACGGGCCATTAGGGATGGAACATTTGCTATTTAAAGTTAGAATTCATCCTCTTTGGAATACATGATAATGCATATTCTTCATTCACGGAAATTTCCAGATATCCCAAATAAATTAGTGATGAATTAATAGATGAGCCAAGGCATGGGTTGAGAACTCCTACACACGATAGTTCGTATTGAGGATGTGGATAGACAGAAAATAATTCAATTTATGTATTCAAAAAATGACCGCAAAGACTGCATATTTGAACTTTTGATAATGTCGAATGTGAACGGGTTCTTACATGCAAACTGATCATTTTTTCACTAATAGATGACGAAATGATAGTGACTAAGTGATGTTTATTAGAACCATGGGCCGCTATGTTATGAGGACAACAACAAGATGGAAAATTGTAATTTATAACAAAATTCGTCTTATGTTGTTTCTTTATGTTTTTTCCGTGCTCTTTATGAAGATCACTGTAATTCTATTACCAGGGGCGGTCGGACCAACTGGGAGGAAGGGGTGCGGGGGGGGGTGCGGGATGCTCCCCCTGGAAAAATGTCTGTCGTTGAACATGTTAGTTGGTGCAAGCTGAGCGTTTTTAACAATTACAAATAGTTCTATAATAGAAACAGCACTTTTTAAAGTTTCACAGGAATCTCATCAAAAATAATTCTGGGCATTTTCAGACAAGAAGATTGGCTGGACGGGGATTTGTTTGAGATACGATGAGGCAAACATACGTCATTATGTAAGAACATTGCAAAACGTAACCGGGTTGATATGGTAGAGAGACACAGATCGTTATTAAAGCGAAGAACAGTGGGAAAAATAAAAAAAATGAAATCGACGGATGTGTATATAATTATGTAGAATGTTCCACAAACCGCCCGTCCAAAAGAATATATGCTTTTAATAGTAAAGTCACGCTTTACGCTTTGATACTATAGAATTGAAGTTCTGGAACATCTACATGAGGTGTTGGTGTAAAATACCAAATGCAACAATCCTCTTTCGCAACATATGTTTGTTGAATGGCTTCATTTCGGACATTTCTTTAACGGGGACTATATCAATGGGTAGCGGTCAGAGAGGCAAAATTCCCATAAATTTGTCTAGGAAATTTTTGTGCATTCTTAATGGATCATTAAGTCTGGGGTAAATTACTCACACTATTTTCGACCAGATTTCCTTCTCAGTTCATTTGTACTTTCCCTTAAATAAAGATGTCGCGTCCGCATGAATGTTACTTGGACGAAAACTCCGCCGTTTGTATCTATTTTGCAGAATCAGAGGCCTTATCACGCTCTCGTCGTAACCCTACTATCACACCAAACTAGTTTTCACTACGTTCTTGAAAACGGGCTTCAACTGTGTACGAACGGACTGGACGTACTTAGAACCGTTTGGGGTCTATTTACAAACTTCATCGAACGTACTCGAACGGGCTTGTAGGTCCTCTAGAACTTCAAGAGTCTGTTGCGAACGGAATGAACGTAGCTGCAACTTTCTAAGGTCTATTTACGAACTTCATGAACGTTCTCAGACGGGAAGATGATTTTAGAACTTTTGAATCGATTCAAAATTCGATGGCGACCATACCGTTCTGTAATCAGGTCATGATGACCTTCTAGACTAAGGGACAGTTTATACGACGTTGCACACCGACATGGTGCGACCTGAACGAACTGCGAATGAGATGGACGTATTGAAGACTGTTTAGGAACGAAGTAGCTAATTATTTTAGACATATTTCCCGACCACAGCCAGATTGAGCCCGTTTTACGACATTTTCGTAGGACGGGCAAGAACGGGTAAGAACGAGTTTGGTGTGATAGGGGGGTAAGATTTGCACCTACGTTGCGTTTGCAAATCGACAATTTGCGCTAGCGCAACTCCTGCGTTGCGTCTTATCACGGGGTTGTCGCAACGCAGATCGCAACGTAAGTGGTAGTTTACCACATGCGATCGCAAAAATGTGGCTTTCAAGAGTCTGTTGAAAACCCATGTTTCAACCAAATATAATTTGGAGGGTAGATCATGTTAATTAAATACGATACCTGTGTCAAATAACTTTTTTTAATGCCCATGAACTTACCGGGCCTTATACAAATAATTATCTCGAAATGAGTTTTACATAGATTATCACACATCATCACTGATCTTTAGTTCAATTCTCATGATTTATTTATACACTCTCATCCGGGTGCATCATAGTTAAGCGTGTTATCCATGTTATCACGAGGGTGCCCTTGGTTGAGAGTGTGTACTTACAAGGGTGCACTCGTCTGGTGAAAGTATGAACTGTCGAGGGTGCACCCGGGTCGCGGGTTAGAGTATGTACAGTATGACGTGGTTTCACTGAGAAGGATGCACTCAGATGAGAGCCTGTACAGACGGAACTTTACTCGGTTGAGAGCATGTAATGACGAAAGTGCACTCGGATGAAAGCGTGTACTTACTGACGAGTATGCACTCGGGTGAGAGGATGTGTAGATTTTTCCCGTTTGCGATATTCCTTTAATGATGTGTGACTATGCAGTTTCATATTTTAAACTTTAAATAAGATCGCCTTCTTCTTGGAGCAAACAACGTCTAGGAACCAAATCATTATATCAGAACGTTTGCATCCGCTCCTAGACGTAGTCTACAGTCGTTTTTATTTACTTCTAAATAAAATATTGTGAGGGTAAAGGACGTTTGCACCTTTCCAGTATAATCCAAGATTCCACGAACCCCCCAATTAACAAATACCGATTTGTGTTCTATGGGGGGGGGTCAATGTAATTTCTTATTTCATTTCAAAATACCTTCTGGACGTTTATTTCGAGCGAAAGTATACATTCAAGTTGACCTTGGCCAAGGATGTGAAACTCCTGTACGAGGGTTGTCCCAGAAGTAATGCACTATATGCCCTCACCTTTTCAATAATTGATATTTTTCCATGAAATATTCAGTAAATATTATTTAGAGATATCTTGATTTTTCTACAAATTTTAATGTTGACTGATAAAACTTTATTGATGTTATAATAAAATCAAGTTGGTGAGTTTGGGTAGGAATAAAAAATCGAAAATATGAAATAATTAATTAACTAGATTTAATGGATGTATATTGCACAGTATCCCATTTCATACTTTCTCAAAATATTAAAATATTAATGTTTGATGCTGAAACTTCAGGATATAAGAGATAAAACTTCAATTGATATATACATAAAATTTCAGCTGAATTGAAGAATACTAAAGTTAGAGCATATAGTGCATTACATCTGGGACAACCCTCGTATGTTATCTATTTACTAGTATTTTTACTTAGCCTATTTATTACTTATTGTAAGTAAATAGTGCTTCAAATGGAGATTGAGGACAAATATTGACAATTCAAATATTTTACACTTTAGACCAAAAAACAATAAAGTAACTGATTACATATTTACACATACATACTGTTACACTTACACTTAAAATTGCTAGTAATTATAAATACCTTGGGATTTTCTTCAGTGAGTTTGGAGATTTTGTATATTGTCTGATGCTGCAAGCAGAGCCCTTGGTTTCTATCATTAATTGTTTTAAGAGTGTCAGTGATATAGGTTTTAAGACATTCACAAAACTTTACAATTCTTGTGTAATCCCTGTTTTAAATTATGCTGTAGGAGTCTGGCGATGTGACCAACGTATGCTTAAAGTATGTAATAATTTAGGGCACAATGACTTTTAATCTTGAAAGTAGTCCCCTATTATACCTCATATAGGATAATCTCTATACTATTCTAGTATATATAATATGATACTTGTATATGATTTCTAGATTTCGAACATATTCATTACAAACAATAACAAACAGAGCATGTCAATTCTCTCAACATAAACTAAACTATCTGATGTGACTTACTCTTTTTATTATCTCACCGAACGAAGTTCATAGGGATATAGAGATACCGTCCATTCGTTCTTCCGTCCGTCCGTCCGTCCATTCGTTCTTGCATAAATCTTTTGGATAATTCATCCTCTCAATCTTTACAGAATCTTACATTGACTTTTCGACCGCGGATATTTCTTCAGAGACGATTTCGATAAAGTGAGTATCTCAGACTGATCGAGTAGACTCGCCTTGGGCTGGCATATTATTTTTATTCGGGGAGCTTATCGTAACCCTTTAAAGGCTTATTCTTTAAAGGGTTATGGGTATAGGTCATCTGCTTGAGAAAGCATTTCAATATGGTTGTTCAATTCAAAATGACTGCCATCTTTTACAAAATACAATCAATTAGTGAAGTGATGGGTTTTGTTAAACGGTTGAAAACTCAAAAATATTTTTCAAAATTACGAAGCGCTCAAAGCCCTCAAATGTTAATGGTTTATTTTTCCTATAATAAAAGAACATGCATTGTGTTGTTTCGTGCAGTGCATCACGAATGAGCAAGATAACAAAGTCTTATTTCAATCTTATTATAGGCCATGATGCCCTCATGTTACTGAGTCAAGTGATTGTGTACTCTGTATACGTAGATATGAGTACCTACATTTACAACATATCGTATTGAGAAACAGATAGCCTACAACAAGGCCGCCAGATATACTAACTAATGTACACTGAGCCGCTAGGAACGTCATGTTTTAATCTGAACCTCGTAGCCTACAACACACGGGGGACTTACACTGGATTTTAAGTATTATGTCACTTAGAAAATTGGGGAGCGAGTATGGTTCAGCGATATTAGAGCGTGTGTTGCAGACCAATGTCCTAGATAAATGGATGTCACAATGCATCCACGGTTTCAGAAGGCATACTAGGAGTAAGTCTACAAACATTAATGTAAGTTCTTTGAATTGTTTCTTGACTTGATAATGATACCCAATGAGCCTATACGTTGATAGTGCTGATCACTCCCAGGTCATTTGGGATGGTCACGGTTTTGGGATTTTTTGGAATAGAAAGAAAATGCTTTCTGGAAAAGACTGGACTTTTAAGAAACACTGGAAAAACTTCTCCTGGTCCCTTTGGCCCCAGTTCTCAAAACATAAACATATTCTTTACTATCTACATGCATACCAATAAACTGTAATATAAGCTCTCTGCAAACCGAATTTGAAATATGAATATAAATTGTAGGCTTAGTGTCTGTTATGTATTTACAGACAAGTGAGAGTTTTCTGCAGCAGAATCACATATTCATTCCATTAAGAAATCCTAACTGGCTAGCGCTATGCGAGTATGACATCTATATTACTATCAAGAACTTATATTTACATGAATGTATATGACAGTGTCAGTCGTCTTGCTCAAACCCTTGAGACAAACAGTTGTTAAAGTAGATAGTCCAGGGTCTTGAAGCAAGAATATGGTGTCAGCATCTCAAAAACCAACAACAAATCCACTGATACTAACTAGTCTAACTAGTATTAATTAGTACTAACTTGATTTGTTTGATGAACTTGATATTTGACCTCCAAGATTTTACTTGAATATGAATCAAAATAAACTGTATGCCAAATTGACTTTTTGACTTTCAAAGATCACTAAAGATCGTCAACATTTCAAATCTGCAGTTCTTCCCATATTGTGCGACTATTGTAACACGGGTACATTCAGTGCTTTATTAATTTAAGATTGAATCAATTTGTGATTGCAGTGTCTACGAGGAAAAACCGCCCTTGTTACTGGTTCAACCAGTGGTATAGGATTAAGTGTGGCTCGGCCACTGGCAGAAAATGGATGTAACATTGTTTATACGGGATTCTCAGACAAACAGCACATCGACAATATAAAGTCTGAGTTAGAAAAGTAATCCAAGGCCCGGGAATGAAAGAAAACCTTTTCTGTAGACCTATAATTAAGTATATATGATTCAGATATAATTCCACAAAATAGTTATCATTAAAATGTATTGTTAAATGAGAACCATAAGTATTCTATTTTAGACATGAATATGTAAAAGCTGTCTACATAGATGCTGACCTAAGCAATTCGGATGATATAGCAAGACTTGGTGACCAAATAAACAACAAGGTTCCTGAAGGCATTGATATTCTCGTAAATAATGCAGGTAACCTGCTAAATAAAATTCTTTGCTCAATATGAGCATTATATAGGCCATCAGCCTGGGGGGTTGGTCGGTATCAAATTAGGGGAATAATCGCCATAGTGATTTTTGGGAAGATTAAGACCTCAAAAGTAAGAAAATATGTGATAGCATTGTAACAGTTGTAGCTAAATGGGTGTTATCACCCATTTTTCAAAATGGCCGCCGGTGCACATGTCACATTATAAGAGTGGGATTTTCTAAGCACACTGAGATGCAAAAACTGTGATTTTAGGACCTATGTCTAGGTTTTAGGGGTCAAGGATTTCATTTATGTTTAAATCTAAGTCATCAAACAATTTTTTCTTGTAGAAATCCAAGATGGCCGCCAAAATGGGTGCAAAAACGAATATGTAACTACTGTTAATGCTCAAGAAACACTTAAGAACAGTGATTTTGGACCCCATGTCTACATTTAGGGGTCAAGGATTTGATTTATGTCTAAATCTGAGTAATCAAATAATTACTTTTCATAGAAATTCAAGATGGCCACCAAAATGGATGCAAAATCAAATATGTAACTATTGATTTAAGCTCAAAGAATAGTTAAGCACAGTGATTTTGGAGACCATATCTGGGTTTTAAGGGTCAAGGATTTGACTTATGTCTAAATCTAAGTCATCAAACTATTACTTTAAATAAAAATTCCAAGATGGCCACCAAAATGAATATTCAACAATTAATTTAAGCTCAGAGAACAGTTGAGAACAGTGATTTTTGAGACATGTCTAGGTTTAAAGGGTCAAGGATTTGACTAATGTCTAAATCTAAGTCATCAAACAATTACTTTATATAGAAATCCAAGATGGCTATCAAAATAGGTGCCAAAATGAATATTTAATTGATTGATTAAAGCTCAAAGAACAGTTAAGAACAGTGATTTTGGAGCACATGTCTGCGTTTTAGGGGTCAATAATTTCATTTATGTCTAAATCTGAGTCATCAAACAATCACTTTATATAGAAATCCAAGATGGCCACCAAAATGGGTGCCAAAATGAATATTTAACTGATTGATTTAATCTCAAAGAACAGTTGAGAACAGTGATTTTTGAGACAATGTCTGGTTTAAAGGGTCAAGGATTTGACTTATGTCTAAATCTAAGTCATCAAACAATTACTTTATATAGAAATCCAAGATGGCCATCAAAATAGGTGCCAAAATGAATATTTAATTGATTGATTAAAGCTCAAAGAACAGTTGAGAACAGTGATTTTTGAGACAATGTCTAGGTTTTAAGGGTCAAGGATTAGACTTATGTCTAAATCTGAGTCATCAAACAATTACTTTATGCAGAAATCCAAGATGGCCATCAAAATGGGAGCCAAAATGAATATTTAACTATTGATTTTAGCTAAAAGAACATAACAGTAAAGAACAGTGATTTTGGAGACAATGACTAGGTTTTAGGGGTCAAGGGTTTCATTTATGTCTAAATCTGAGTCCTCAAACAATTGCTTTTCATAGATATCCAAGATGGTCACCAAAATGGGTGCCAATAACAAGTAAATGTTGATATAAGCTCAAAGAACAGTTTACAACAGTAATTTGAGACCATGTCAAGATTTTTGGTGTCAAGAATTTCAGTTATGTCTACAACTATAATTAATTCCTTTATTTGGATCCAAGATGGCTTCCAACATTGCTGCCGAAGTGAAAATAAGATTAATTATCTAAACATATAGAGGAGTAAGAACATTAATTTTTGATTAATTTTGTCTTTAATAAAATCAACAAACATTTTATTTATATGGTCTATATATTTTACTTATAAGTGATAATATTATGCAGCCATTTTGGTGGCCATCTTGGATATCAAAATAAAGGAATTATTTTATGACTTAATTATAGACAAAATTGAAATTCTTGGCCTCTTAAACCTGGACACAGTCTCCAAAATCACTGTCCTTAACTATTCTTTGAGCTTAGATCAATAGTTACATATTCATTTCAGCACCCATTTTGGTAGCCATCTTGGATTTCTATAAAAAGTAGTTATTTATACTTAGATTTAGACATTAATGAAGTCTTTGGCCCCTACAAAATAGACATTGTCTCTAAAATTACTGTTCTTAACTGTTATTTCAGCTTAAATCAATAGTTACATATTCATTTTGGCATCCATTTTGGTGGCCATCTTGGATTTCTATAAAAAGTAATTGTTTGATGACTAAGATTTAGACATAAGTCTTATCCTTGACCCTTTAAACCTAGACATGTCTCAAAAATCACTGTTCTCAACTGTTCTTTGAGCTTAAATCAATCAGTTGAATATTTATTTTGGCACCCATTTTGGTGGCCATCTTGGATTTCTATATAAAGTAATTGTTTGATGACTCAGATTAAGACATAAGTCAAATCCTTGACCCTTAAAACCAAGACATGATCTCTGAAATCACTGTACATATGTTCTTTGAGCTTAAATCAATAGTTACAGTGCATATTCGTTTTGGCACCCATTCTGGTGGCCATCTTGTATTTCTATGAAAAGGTAATTATTTGATGACTCCCATTTAGACATAAATGAAATCCGTAACTCTAAAACTGTGACATTATCTCCAAAATCACTGTTCTTAAGTGTTCTTCGAGCTTAAATCAATGGTTACATACCGGTATTCGTTTTGGGACCCATTTTGGTGGCCATCTTGGATTTCTATAAGAAGTAATTGCTTGATGACTAAGATTTCCGCATAAATGAAATCATCGACCCCTAAAACCTCAACTTAGGCCCTAAAATCACAGTTTCTGCATCTCAGTATACTTAGATATACCCACTCTTATATTGTAACACGTGCACCGGCGGCCATTTTGAAAAATGGGTGATAACACCCATTTAGCTACAACTGTTGCAATGCTATCACATAGTTTCTTACTCTAGAGGTCTTAACCTTCCCAAAAATCACTATGGCGATTATTCCCCTGATTTGATACCGATAACCTAAATTTTGGGGTGAAGCTGATGGCCTAATATGGAAAATAAGATAAAAATAAAATCAATGACAACATAAATATATATTTATTAGAAACTTATGCAATAGTAACCTTAAATTACTTTAAGGGTTTCAACACGTGTCCCTTGTTGAGGAATGTAGTGCCAAAAAATGGGATTCGATGCTTACTGTGATGCTTACTGCTCCTTTCCTACTGACGCAGCACTTCATACCAGCCATGCGATGTAAAGGTACAGCTTACAATATGACATATCAGTGTTTAGTTTAGTTTATTTGATGAATATTAAAGTTACAGCGCTTCAAAGTCATTTTTGAAAATAATTTTTCGCCTCCTGTGTTATTTCAATGGGAGAGGTTTTTTGAAAAACAATTTTGACTTTAAAGCCCTATAATTTTGTTGAACCTGAAGAAACATATCAATTTTTTGTTAAATAAAGTTAGCAAATTCAATTGCCTGCGCAACTCGTATTTTTTGCAAGGACTCGGATGGATGGATATTCAGTCATATGACTTGCGGCTAACCTACCATTTCCCATTGGTTAACATGGGAATGTCAATTTTCAAAAATTCATCAAAATCATCAATTTTCGACCTATTGTAATTGAGGAAAAAATTGAGAAAATTTTGAGGTATTGGAATTAAAGTCAAATTACGTTTCCATCAATAGTACTGTATAAGTATTTTCATCGCATTTTAAGTAAATAAAAATTCAAAGGTAAAGAGGCTTTAACACGTAGTTCAATGGGGAAAAAAGGTTGCCAACCTATGGAGGGGAGTGTACATTAAATTGCATATCTTATCGCAGTTATTCCTGTTGTTTACATGAATTTTTCACATACACTTGGGTTGTTTTACATCATGAGAAATCACAAAATATTGCCATTGTAAAAAATATAAGTTCTATTCCAGGATGGGGCCGAATAATCAACATGGCGTCAGCACATGGTCATGTGGCTTCTCCACGCAAGGCTGGTTACGTCACTTGTAAACATGGCATTATCGGTCTTACTAAGGTTGTTGCACTGGAAACAGCAGGTTCTGGGGTTACGTGCAATGCTGTATGTCCAGGCTACGTCAACACCCCACGTAAGTAAGCGTTCCGATAGACTTATACTGTGATGAAGTACCATTCTCATACTTATCACATCTTTCTGTTTGTCTAGCAACATACTCTGATATCATGTGTGTAATGATAATCATTTATTTTCGATACATCACAGTCACATTTAATGCTTCGGTCATGGGTTCTAAATACCTACGGTCAATGGAAATTATGGGACCGTGGGTGCAGTATTATCATGGTCACATACTGTAGCATTCATTGACTTTGTGCAGACGATCCTGCGGTTGATGTACCACCATTGAACTCATATAAGCTCGTTTCTAGTATCTTCATGGAGATCTGTATTGTACTTGTATCTAAAAACTAAACGAGGGTTTGCTTCACGAATCTCACTAAATTGCCTTATATGGATAATATCAACATCTTATTAATGAAACAAAAACATATCTGGAGATAGTTTGCACCCCATATGAGTGTGTTTCCTAGATTCGTTCTCATATTCTCAGGTCTGTTCCGTTTGTTCTTTTGTTTCACAGTGTTCCAGGAGCAAGTGACAAGTCTGTCCACTAACAGAGGCATAACATACAAAGAGGCAGAGGTTAATTTTCCAAGTACTTTTTTCTGCTGCATCGTCGTTGGAACCTAAGGAATAACAGTATAATATAAGGTTTTATCTATAGATGAAACAAATGAATAATGCGCAAATATATAAAAACTACAATCATATCATATCAATGCACCATATCATTTAGATTTTGCTATGATAAGAAACAATATTCAGTCGACTAGTTTCTTTTACCACCTATAACTTATGCAAAGTTACAGAAACGCCTTGCCGCATTGCAAAATCTATTTTTCTCTTTTTGTGAACGACATAAATAATCTCATTTGTTCATTGTTGAGTCACAATTACACCACCTTAACATCTCATAATCTCTCAAAGGACCGGTTTCGTAGCAATGTTATTTCTTTCGAAAAGGCTACTTCTATTAGACTCGTCAGCTAGTTATTAGGAGGCCCTCTGAAAGAGGCCTCATATAGCTTTCTTATCCCTCCTTCCTTTATTTTTATTATTCTATCAAAGTATTTTTCTCAAGAGTCTCAAGATTTCATATCTGATCTTAGAATTGAGATTTGTCATTTGGTTGACCTCAAGTGACATTCGAAAGGTCAAATAACTTTATTTTTCTATTTCAACAAATCATTCTTAAACATCATCTGCAAGTTCCAATCCACCTTAGATTTAGGATTTTTAGATTTGACTGATGTTCAAATTGTCAAACACTCCTACGAGGTCTCCGTAAGATTGCTTGCAATCTTGATTTCTAGTTAATTACTCGTTCTTTCAGGTTGAATTTCTCAGTCGGTATCATGAGACTAAACAAGCGGTGGACGTGTGTGACGTAGCATCCCTCGTGCTTTACTTGTGCTCAAATGCTGCCTCGCAGATCACAGGATCTTCACTTGTCATCGACGGTGGTTGGACTGCGAAATGATTGAGAGGTTGTCCCCTCGGTTGACCATCAGTTTCGTCAACTCAATGTTTTAGAAAAACATTGGAGTAATATCTTTAGTATTCCTCATGATAAAACGTTTTATGATAAAATATATTCCTTGAAAATAACAAACATGAAATACAAAAAGTATGCTGAATTCAACTTTAAATTACTTCGCAACATTTTAGCATGTGGAAGTGAGATATGTAGATGGAACTCTAATATTAACCAAAAGTGTTCAAAATGTAATATAATTCAAAATGCAAAACATCTTATTTTTGAATGTAAGCTAGTAGAAACACTATGGAAGGATAAGGAAAATATTAAAATGTAAAATACTCTGGAAACATTTTATTCTGGGTTTTTATTATTGCATGGAAAGTGATATTATAGCATTTAGAAATTTAATATTTACTATTATAGGTTACACAATATATTCAACATGGGTAAAATTGTCGGAAGAAAGGAATAAATATGAAAATGTCAACTTCAAATCAAAAATTGCATCCAATTTAAAGATCTACGCAAACGTCTGTGTAAATGAAAACGAAAAAGTGAATCATTATTTAGATCAATTTATTAAAAAATGTATATCATAAATATTTTTGATTGGTGAAGCTCTATATATTAAAATGTTCTATGTATTTGTAGAAGTTGCATGTATTTTTGTTTGCTTTTGAATGTATTTGTTTTGTAAATATGTTATGTTGAAATAAATGTAAATAATTTAAAAAAAAAAAAAAATGTTAGCCTTAAATGGGCATTATCCCCAAAATGTCTTGAAAATGAGTAAATATTCAACTATTTGATACAGACCTCAGTACATTATTTAGGCTTTATTACCAATACCTATCAAAATGGTGAAATAACTCAATAATATTATGTTTGAAATCAATTTGCTTTTATTTGATACTGTACATGAATCAACAATTTTGACCTTCTATAATTTGAATTATATTCCCAAAGATGACATAGGGGTCATATCTGTCTGGCCAGTCCTTAGCATTTTGACCCATGTGGTCATCGAAATGTTATTTTAGACAATTACTCATCCGTGTGAAATGAATTTATACATCATTTTATTGGAAATTGAATTATCTTTCCAATGATGTATGAATTAAACATGTGGCTGTAGTATCAAAAACGTTGTGGCAAAAACAAGAATGTGGACGTTTTTGACCCACCCTGTAGAATCCTCGCCTCGGCTAATTATTAATGAATGATGAAGATTAATTTTTATTTATTTACGTCATGCAGCAATACCAAAAATATTGTTCATCACCGGACCTATAAATATAATAAAAAATCTTCAATTCTATTTCTCTTTTAAACGTTTTTTTTGTGTAATAGGGAACATAGACATTCTAATCTTATTCGACATATTTATTGCATATGGGCATTTTATTACAAGTAACAAAGTAGAGTTTCATTACGGTAATGATTTATTGCCCAGTATACAAGGCAAAACTCTTGTTTATTTAAAACAAGGCTCTCCACGTTATGCATTGGCATACGGATTTACTGCATTTACATGGCTCATTGTCCAGTATCTCAATTAACCATTATTATTGAGACGTAACAATTCTTTCCATATCATGCAAAACATGTATTTGCTCCGTTTTTATCGCACCAAGTGTAACGGACACGCTTAATGTAATCAAGAAATGAACAAGACGTTTAAGAAGTCCAAGTAATGATCTGTATAATGATCAAATTTCATAAGTATATTTCGTAATTGATATGAGAAAACAGCGAAGTTGGGATGACAGGAGTGCTATTGTCTGCATGGGTCAAGCACGTTCTTACAAGTATCCATCATACGAGAGGAATTTCTGTTTCTATAATATCAGATACAGCATGTTATGTAAACGCCCCTCTCTCATGTTTTATCACAAACTGTGATTAATTATGAACAGTAATAGTTATTGAAAAATGCCGCTGTTACACTTGATTGATATTTATATTATAAATCGCTTTAATAACCTGATGAAAGCGCGAATCAGTGTTTGTAGACTTGCGCCTATTCTAGATATTGTATCCAAGTAAGTTTACCTTTTTAATAACAGTTCTGTTATAAAATCGTTTGACTGAAATTACTTTAGGTTGTTTGGTCAGTCGGAAAAATACTATATTCTGCCAGTAATTTGGGTAGACAAAGAGGCGGATTAGGTCAGTTCAGTGATCTGATTTGGATCGTAGAAATTTTTGGCTGTCATTTTTACAATATCCTCGTACTATTTTTGCAGTTATAGCAAAAATCTTAAAATATCACACTTAATAATGGCCACCCTTTTCAAAATGATGCTCACTAGCCATATTGTTATAGGAAAGTGTAATATGCTTCTAGCCACATATAAAATTTCAACAAAATTGCACATGTAAATGGCGGCCATTTTTTTCAAAATGGCTGCCTACTAGCTAAAGTGTCATAAGGCAGTGTACTATGCTTATGAGCATTCACATATCAAATATGAACAAAATCGCTCCACTACTTTTCAAGTTACAGCAAAAATCATAAAATAGCGTCTAAAGGCCGCCATTTTTCAAGATGGCTGCAATGTAGATAGTATGTCTTAAATATCTACATTTCTAGCTTTATTAATGTCCTATATAACTTTTTTACAATATGTTGCTATTACAATTTTATATATTGCACCTAAATTACTGTATATCGGCGCTAAAATGGCCGCCATTTTTAAACGAGCGGCCATTTTCAAAAATTTGCTTTTGAGCAGAACTTCTACCTAAATAGGGCACATGTGTACGAAATATGAACAAAATCACCCTGAGAGACGGGCGTATGGATGGGCGAACAGAGGTGTTCCCTATATTCCTCCGAACTTGGGATGGGATACTATGCCGTCCAGCAATTGGTATAGGAATTCTTTACCAAATTTTTATTAATGCCTTCGTACTAGATTTTAAAGGCCGCTCTGAAGTTTTGAGATAGTCAGTTAATCCAAATAAGTACTCAAATAACTTCATAATCAATAGCATTCTGATTTCAAGGTATAATTTCGAATTAGTTTGCTAATATTCATTTTATTGCAACGCACTATTTGGCATTCAATAAGTACTCAAACCGCTGTAACGTTTATTACAATTTGAGTCATATTTCAACTATATACGTATAAGTGTAATATTCTATTGTTAATCAGAGGCATATGCGTTTGGTAAAAGTAAAAGCAAGACAATAACCATATGACAATATGACTACAGTAATAAAGAATATTTAAACAACTTGGACTTTAAACATTTTGAATACATGAATGGGGAGAACTAATCAGATCAAGATTCCAAAATTATATAGAGGGCGAAAGTTTAAAGGCATCACATATGTTTTGCGACTTGAAAAGAATAATTGCCACAGAAAGTAATATATTTACAAAAACTTTAGAGACACTCCGATTTTTTAACTCACCAGAGTAAGATTTTAAAGTTATAGAAGAATTTAAATTCAGATATCATCGCAATTTAATTTTTTTTAAATGCTAATATTTCAAAATTGAGGATGACAAAGTATCAAATGAATCCCGAATAACCAATTGAAGGCTAATCCGTGAAAGAAATGAGGGCTTCTTGTATAAATTGATACAATCCATGGTCATAGCCAGCCATTGAAGTCTCATGATAATGTTATTTCTTCTAAAGGATAGGTATCGATATGGTGAACTGAATTGTTTTTCTCTTAAACCAATTATTGAAAACATTCTGTAAAAATACACGGTCCTTTATGTAATCTTGACTGATTGACAACAATTTAATGCAAAAATTATTTATATATATTTTCTATAACTGTTTTTGTTAATGATAACATTTTTTGTTTTTTTAGTGGAATTGTATTTTGTTCCTTTCTACCAATTCTTGAGAATGAAATAAAATATCTTTCCGAACCTTGTTAGAACACAATAGCATATACAACATTTTCTTAGACCTCATTATTATGGTTATACATTTGAAATTTTGGTTGATTTAACAAAAGGTAAGCAAGAAATTAAAACAAAACCTCCCAAAATGGGTAAAAATTAAAATAAACCTTTTATTTCATTAGCAAGATACTTTTTTAAAATCAACCAAACTTTCCTTTGTACAATTACAATATTGAGAGACCTAAACACGTTGTGTTTAGGCCGTTTTGTCCCAATGAGGTTCGGATAGATGTTTTATTTCATTCCGAACATATGATTCCAAGAAGAAAAGAAGCGTCAGGTGTGTTTTCTAAAACAATATAGAGAAAAGTATACTTAAAATTAAAATGTTACCATCCAAAGGATGACCATTAAATTGACGATGTGTAAAATTTTCAGAATTTTTTTATGACTTTGAAACGTGTGTTCAAAAAGTTCACCATATCGATACCATTCCTTTTTCTAAAATTCCAATCTTTGCCTCACCAATTCAATTTGTCTTCCCATTTAAGATCCTACGCCCCTACAATCAGACGAAGCTGCATTATTATAAAAATGCCTTTTAATTTATACCACCTGTGCATAAGAAGGTGAAACCACTGTTCATTTGAATTTTCATGTCGGAAATTAATTTCGTTAAGTGATTATCATTTATAAACCTACAGTATTAGTGACGAAAAGTCTGGATTCATGAAATGTTCACACAGAAGGCTAACGCTAAATTCAACGAACATTCACTCAAAGTATGTATATATTCTATGATTAAAGCATGGAACAAAAATGAACTGCTGGTAGAAGAACGAATTTTGGTAAAGCCAGAAAAAGAGAAAACAAATTAAAGAGCCAGCTAATTACAAAATGAAATGTCGAGGATCGTGGCTTAACAGTGATATAACAAAACATATAATTCTATTTTGATTTTAGTCAATAACTATGGCAGTCCTACAAGATCGTGATATTGTATTAGCCATGCCTTGAAGTAACTGCGAATAATGTATGATTAAGCAGGAACCATACAGAATTCATACGCGCATTTGAATCCTGCCTCAAGGAATCAGTAGCTTGATTCACTCTTTTTGCTATGTTGGTCATTTTACGCGTTTTGGAAAAATAGGGAGCTCCCTATACATTTGTGTTTATTTATGAAATAATCACGCGATGACTAAATATTGTAGGATATATATTTTTATCCTACACTTAGTGTACTAAACGTATAATAGCATTAAAAAATAAATTTGATATTTATTGGCAAAATGAATATCCGGAGGATATCGTAACGATATTACTCCGGGCGGAGGATACCGTGACGATATACTCCGGAAAACCCAATACATGCGGAGGATATTGTGACGATATACTCCGCTTGTTGATTTCCCGCCAAATTGACTCTATTTGGCATGAAATTCATTTTGCAATGATATTATACATTTAGTACACTCCTTGTAAGTGTAGGATAATAAGAACATCCTATGATTTTTTTTCAGAATATCATTTTAATCTACTCGGTGATATTGATATATGCACTCGTTCGCTTTGCTCTCTCGGGCAGATATCAATATCACCTCGTAGATAAAAATGATATTCCTCAAAATCATAGGATATCCTATAAATGTCATATTAGGAACTTATTTGAATCAATATCACGTCGTTCATGAAAAAATGACATCATTGAAAATCATATACCCTCATTATCCTTTGAATACGATCGATTAATTTTTACTCAAAATATTACATTCCTGTCAAAATATTTGACAAGTTACATGCAACTTGATTTTTGTCAGTTTGGTAATCTAGGTTAAGTTTGACGTCACAAACTTGTAAGAAGTCACATCGGTGTTTTTGGTATATGCTATGTTCCATATGTAATATTTTGAGTAAAAATGTATCAATCGTCTTCATTATGCCTTACATTTTGTGTGTAAAATTTCATTAAGTTTACTGGTCATTTACTAAAGTTATTTCAGGATTTTATCGATAGGAAAAGACTTTTGGTACAGAGGGTACATGAACGTCGTGACTACAAGTGTATTTATGTGTATGTACAAGTATTTGATTTATTGTTCCATTCATGATATCAAGTAAGCTATTCACGGACTCCAGCTATAATATGATGTTATCACATGTATCATGCATACAAGTAAGCTATAATATGATGTTATCACATGTATCATGCATACAAGTAAGCTATAATATGATGTTATCACATGTATCACGTATACAAATAAGATATATTATCACATGTATCATGCATACAAGTAAGCTATAATATGATGTTATCACATGTATCATGCATACAAGTAAGCTATAATATGATGTTATCACATGTATCATGCATACAAGTAAGCTATAATATGATGTTATCACATGTATCACGTATACAAATAAGATATATTATCACATGTATCATGCATACAAGTAAGCTATAATATGATGTTATCACATGTATCATGCATACAAGTAAGCTATAATATGATGTTATCACATGTATCACGTATACAAATAAGATATATTATCACATGTATCATGCATACAAGTAAGCTATAATATGATGTTATCACATGTATCATGCATACAAGTAAGCTATAATATGATGTTATCACATGTATCATGCATACAAGTAAGCTATAATATGATGTTATGACATGTATCATGCATACAAGTAAGCTATAGTATGATGTTATCACATGTATCTGTATCATGCATACAAGTAAGCTATAATATGATGTTATCGCATGTACTGTATCATACATACAAGTAGGCTATAATATGATGTTATCGCATGTATCATACATACAAGTAGGCTATAATATGATGTTATCGCATGTATCATACATACAAGTAAGCTATAGTATGATGTTATCACATGTATCATACATACAAGTAAGCTTTAATATGATGCTATCACATGTATCATACATACAAGTAAGCTATAATATGATGTTATCACATGTATCATGTATACAAATAAGTTATATTATCACATGTATCATGCATACAACTAAGCTATAATATGATGCTATCACATGTTTTATGCATACAAGTAAGCTTTAATATGATGCACATCGTAAATTGTAGTGTATAAACAGCTGACAGCTAAATAATGCAGTACCCTCAGAATTTAAATATTACTTTTGTATAATGGTCTTTTGAAAGTTAAATTATTTTTCTCTAAAGAATAGCGTCAGCAGCTAAATCATTAACATAAAATTGTACACATGAAACATTACCAGAATATAAAAGACAAACATGTCTGTGTCCGTCAGGTTCCCCTTTCATGCCAATTGGGATCCGTCTGTCTGTCTGTATAAATTGTCTGAGTTTGTATGTGAAAACCGTTAATATTCCCCTTTCATGCCAATTGGGATGCGTCTGTCTGTCTGTATAAATTGTCTGAGTTTGTATGTGAAAACCGTTAATATTCCCCTTTCATGCCAATTGGGATCCGTCTGTCTGTCTGTATAAATTGTCTGAGTTTGTATGTGAAAACCGTTAATATTCCCCTTTCATGCCAATTGGGATCCGTCTGTCTGTCTGTCTGTATAAATTGTCTGAGTTTGTATGTGAAAACCGTTAATATTCCCCTTTCATGCCAATTGGGATGCGTCTGTCTGTCTGTATAAATTGTCTGAGTTTGTATGTGAAAACCGTTAATATTCCCCTTTCATGCCAATTGGGATCCGTCTGTCTGTCTGTATAAATTGTCTGAGTTTGTATGTGAAAACCGTTAATATTCCCCTTTCATGCCAATTGGGATCCGTCTGTCTGTATAAATTGTCTGAGTTTGTATGTGAAAACCGTTAATATTCCCCTTTCATGCCAATTTGGATCCGTCTGTCTGTCTGTATAAATTGTCTGAGTTTGTATGTGAAAACCGTTAATATTCCCCTTTCATGCCAATTGGGATGCGTCTGTCTGGCTGTATAAATTGTCTGAGTTTGCATGTGAAAACCGTTAATATTCCCCTTTCATGCCAATTGGGATGCGTCTGTCTGTCTGTATAAATTGTCTGAGTTTGTATGTGAAAACCGTTAATATTCCCCTTTCATGCCAATTGGGATGCGTCTGTCTGTCTGTCTGTATAAATTGTCTGAGTTTGTATGTGAAAACCATTAATATTCCCCTTTCATGCCAATTGGGATGCGTCTGTCTGTCTGTATAAATTGTCTGAGTTTGTATGTGAAAACCGTTAATATTCCCCTTTCATGCCAATTGGGATCCGTCTGTCTGTCTGTATAAATTGTCTGAGTTTGTATGTGAAAACCGTTAATATTCCCCTTTCATGCCAATTGGGATGCGTCTGTCTGTCTGTATAAATTGTCTGAGTTTGTATGTGAAAACCGTTAATATTCCCCTTTCATGCCAATTGGGATGCGTCTGTCTGTCTGTATAAATTGTCTGAGTTTGTATGTGAAAACCGTTAATATTCCCCTTTCATGCCAATTGGGATGCGTCTGTTTGTCTGTATAAATTGTCTGAGTTTGTATGTGAAAATCGTTAATATTCCCCTTTCATGCCAATTGGGATGCGTCTGTTTGTCTGTATAAATTGTCTCAGTTTGTATGTGAAAACCGTTAATATTCCCCTTTCATGCCAATTGGGATGCGTCTGTTTGTCTGTATAAATTGTCTCAGTTTGTATGTGAAAACCGTTAATATTCTCCTTTCATGCCAATTGGGATGCGTCTGTTTGTCTGTATAAATTGTCTGAGTTTGTATGTGAAAACCGTTAATATTCCCCTTTTATGCCTATTGGGATGCGTCTGTCTGTCTGTATAATTTGTCTGAGTTTGTATGTGAAAACCGTTAATATTGTCGGGGTAAGGTTATAGTATTGTCCCCTTGTCTAAACATCCAGGGAGCAGCTATATTTAATCTTATATGATATGATCTTACCTTGGAAACCGCCTCTGAAACTAAGTAAGCAATTTCACGAGGTCATCAGAATTGCAAGTAAATGTTTTGCTTTTTGCACAATGTTTTATATATGAATTAGGAATCTGCTATAGCACCTGCTCTCGTATTCCGCAAACCTTTGACTTAATAATTATTGCCAATGTGTAATTACCTGGCTCGGGGTTTTTATGTAAGAATAATACATTCCAGTTGTCAACCCCAAGGGCCATCATTTATTGAATTAGAAAGTGGTTTTATAAAAACAAACAAGTATAAAATTCAATGTCTAACAAACAAGTAATTAATTCAATGTTAAACAAATAAGTGTTAATTCAATGCCAAAAAAACAAGTATCAATATTCGAATTTCAAAGACCTGTACACAGGTATACACAGGTCTTTGAGTATTATGGAATTGACACCTGTGAAATAAAAAGGATATCTTTCTCAAATATTTGGATATCAGATTATCTCATGTAATAACGAGATGAAGCCCCTCTTTATAATTTATGCTCCAATCAATCATTCAATTTTGTAACAAGTTCAGATCATAATATAAATCAGATTTACACATTCTTAATACTAATATAGCTACTCTGAGCCCATCAAATTGAAATGCTCTATAGTGTAATAAGCAAAGAGCGAGCGATGGCATTTTAACTGCGAGCTTGGAAATTGATCGTGAAACCTATATAAGACCTTAGCTGAGGCTTGTGAGAAAAGCAGTGCGTCACAAGACATTCGCGACAGAGCACTAACTATAGAGATCCTGTGATGGGATTCACTTAGTCAAGGCTTATTTAACTAACTACGTGAAAAGGCTCTATTCACGGACTCCAGATTCTTTAGGATATACTAATAATTAACATTAAACATACGGTGTTAGAGGGTCTACTCCACGAGACTAAAAACTATACAAAACACATGTAGTTAGCAAGTCTAACTTATCAAAAAGTTTGTCAACATCGAGATTTATAATAACAGCAAAAGTAACGGTATGTATATCATTTTCTCATACTCATTCTAATCTAGTAGATATTTGGGATTCTCCTAGCCTTGCGGTGTCTTTTAAATTGATGAATTAAATATAATACCAACTTGGGCAAGGCTACTTTTCGCCCAAATGCCCTGGTAATAGCCTTGTATGATGGAAAACAAAAATAGGGAAGAGTAAATTATTGACGAAGTTGATCTCATTTTGTTTATATTTTAGTATCTTGTACTGAGCCCTCTGCTTTCTTATTTTTCTCTCGTTACTTTCATGAATTGTGTTTTATTCATAACCAGTATGTATAAACAACATCAGAGTTAAATGAAATGTCAAACATGTAGCAGATGAAACATGTTGGTATGGCAGGTGTTTGTCTTGAAAACTAGACACAAAGTCACATTGTTGACAGGGGTGTTTATAGAAGGCTAGGCATGGAGGTGCAGTTGTAGAAGCTTAAGGCATTAGACGCTTAACGTGTCGTTGTAACACAGGTAACAGATTAGTCTGCAGGGCGTTAAACGTCTTTAATAGCAGCTGTTAAACACGACGTTATAGCAGGTTGATCTGCAGAGTGTTAAACGGCGTTATAGCGGTGGGACTGTATGGTGTTAAACATGTCTCTATGATTGGGGAACTGTAGGGTGTTAAATATGTCGTTATAGAAGGGGAGACTGTATTGTGTTCAACATGTCTTTTTGACAGGGGGAACTGTAGGGTATTAAACATGTCGTCATAGCGGTGGGACTGTATGGTGTTAAACATGTCTTTATGATAGGGGGAACTGTAGGGTGTTAAACATGTCGTTATAGTAGGGGTGACTGTATTGTGTTCAACATGTCTTTTTGACAGGGGGAACTGTAGGGTGTTAAACATGTCGTTATAGTAGGGGTGACTGTATTGTGTTCAACATGTCTTTTTGACAGGGGGAACTGTAGGGTGCTAAACATGTCGTTATAGCGGTGGGACTGTATGGTGTTAAACATGTCTTTATGATAGGGGGAATTGTAGGGTGTTAAACATGCCGTTAAAGCAGTGGAAACTGTAGGGCGTAAAACATTTCTCTATAGCAGGGGGAACTTTTGAGTGAATATTTTTAACCCCTATTCATCTGAAATTTTGCATAGTGCGCACAGTAATTTTACGTGAACGCCATTATATTCCTAAAAAGCGACTTAAGCATGTATAAAAAATCCCAGTTTTACCTTGTTGTGTACTCTATATGTTTGCAAAGCAAGAGAATTGTGCATGCAGTGGTACGTTGTTGAGAAAAAATTGTAACTTTCGTAACTTCACTTATTTTTAAATCACTGGGAGAATTAAGATCACTAACCCCTAAGGACTTGAAAGTGAAATCATATTCATATTATGTATAATATAAATGTATAAAAAGCCATAATTTTTTAAAACAAATTGAAGTAGCGATGGGCCTTTATTCGTTTCACTTATTTTTAAATCACTGGGAGAATTGAGACCACTCACCCTTATGGACTTTAAATCTTAATTAATATTATGTACACTTTAAATATGATAAAGGTAGCTGAGTAAGTAGATTAGTAGGTAGCTGAGTAAGTAGCTTAGTGGGTTGCTGATCAAGTTCGCACCATTGACTTATATTAACATGAGGATATCATTATGTCGACTTTTCGAGATTTCAATACATCAAAGAATCTTGCTTTGAAGTCGGATTTCAATTCTGACTTCTGAAATTTCCCATATTTTGACACCTCAAACATTGCATTTTTAGATCATACATGTCGTACATATCTCAAAAGTAGGTTTAAAAAATATCCTCTGACGGCAAGACGCTAAAACTATAAGCATTTCCTTGGCTATTAGTGCACCAAACCTCGAAGAATATTATGAAGTCAGAGTCGCAATATTTAATATAACTTTAATATATAGATTGGTATTGTACTTTTATATGGATTGTAGTTCTATAAATGACATACCACTTCTGTGTTGCAGTTTACTTCTCGGTGATATTATACGTTTATGTAGTATTCTACTTCTCTTTGATATTATACTTTTATGTAGTATTCTACTTCTCTTTGATATTATACGTTTATGTAGTATTCTACTTCTCTTTGATATTATACTTTTATGTAGTATTCTACTTCTCTTTGATATTCTACTTTTTAATATGGTATTATACTTCTCTGTGATATTCTACTTTTATATGGCATTCAACTTCTCTTTGATATTCTACTTTTTAATATGGTATTCTACTTCTCTTTGATATTCTACTTTTATATGGTATTATACTTCTCTGTGATATTCTACTTTTATATGGCATTCAACTTCTATGCGATATTCTACTTCCATATGGATTTGTACTTTAATATGGTATTCTACTTTTGTGTGGTATTCTACACCTACATGGTAATGTAGAACAATGCGAAGTTCCCTTTTGTTTAATTTGACTATTTGTACAAAACATAGGCTAGTCCATCGGAGAATATGATGCCAAACGTATAAAGGGGAATGTAGGACAATGTAGGATTCTCTATTCTTTAATTTATATATTTGTTCGACTGCATAAGACATGCATAAACAGCATTAAGAAAGACGTTTTATCGTCCCTGTATAAATGAGATTGTGTCAAATAGTTCAATATATGGCCTACTCTCCAAATATTAGTATCTGCTCTACTCCCAGGGTAGAACGCCTATACACACAGCACATTCTAAATTTCGAACTGAGTTAATAAGATGACGTTATTATATTAATTAGAAACTAGCGGAAGAATCCCAGTGATATATTGTGCAACTAATCTGGAATTTTCCGTTCATTTGTTTATATATTTCATTCATTAAATCACATACGTACATTTTCATTTTCAATGGCGAATGGTTGGCAGATGCTTTTTAGCTTCCACTCATAAACTTTTAAACAACTGCTTGAGTATTATTTCCAATGAAGCATTTGCTATCAGGAATGAATTAAGCATAGTTGTTGCTTTCCGGGTAATTGTTTGGAAATCCAAGTTTTAAAGCTTTAAAGTCTCACCTTTACTAAAAAGCATGGTGCTGACTCGGACCCTTGACACGAGCCCAAATTCCAAATCGGCCTTATCCACATTCTTGACTGAGACGTGAATATGTACGTATGATAGATTTCAGGATTTACGTATATGTAAACGAAAAACCACACAATAGTTTGTGATTTCACAAAAATATACTTTGCTGTTAACAATAAATTAACAATGAATGAATCTGTGCAAGTAGTTGTTCATTTGGACTATCCTACAAACGAACACCCACATGACGTATATTCATGTATGTACACAATCCATAAATTATGGATTAGGAGCCTATTATCATCGTTTGAAGTCCTGTCGACTGTATTCATTTTTCTACTGCTTCCCTAAGCGTATACCTATATTTATCCATTGGATTGGGAATAAATATTTTCAAATGAATAGTAGGGTAATCAATAAAAACGATAATTAAATTCCGAGTATCATTTTCACATTATATTATAATTATTTTGTTTTGAGATTCAGTTTGATAACACATCTCTCGATGAATAACTTTCACATAGGACTGTTTCTTGACTTATCAAAGGCATTTGAGACTTTTGATCACAAAATTCTACTTGAAAAAATTGATCTTGTATAAGTTAAGGGGAAATGTCAAAAATTGGTTCACTTCCTACTTAAAAACAGAAAATATATCACTTGCTACATTAACACTTATTCAAATCAAGATATTATTAAATGTGGTGTACCTCAAGGATTTATACTTGGACCGACTTTGTTTTTAATGTGTATTAATGATATAACTTCAACCTCAAATCTTATCAAATTTGTATAATATGCAGATGATACTAATTTGCTTATATCTAATCGTAATATGGACGAACTAGTTAGACTATTAAACAAAGAACTGCAAACAATTAATCAATGGTTTAAAGCTAACAAACTATCTCTTAACTTAGATAAAACTAATTTCATAATTTTTATTCCAGGCAAAAATTTAATCCATGACATAGATATACATATTGACAATGTGCCAATAAAAAGAGAAAGTAGTGTTAATTTTCTTGGAGTATTTATTGATGAAAAGTTAAATTGGAAAAAATACATTCAGCATATTACTAAAAATATATCAAGAATAACAGGCATCATCTATAAAGTAAAAGACATCCGTGTCTTTCATTAATCCTTTCTCAAAATAACTATTGCAACATTATTTAGGGTCATGTAAAAGATAATATACTTACACCAATACATCTTATTCAAAAGAAATGTATCAGATTAATTACAAATTCACATTTTAGAGAGCACAATGGCCATTTATTCAAAAGAGAATTTTGACAATTTTTGATATTTACCATTTAAATGTTGCTTCATTTGTATAAAGATGCTTAAACAAACCATCTGGCTTTCCTATTTATATTTTAAATATTATTTTAAAATTTCCCAACATGGCCATGACACAAGATCTAAACACCTTTTAGTCCAACCTAAATATCGCGTTAAGTTTGGGTGGGACTCGCTTAAATACAGTGCGTATCAAAAAAAACGCAACAGATTGTTATCTCGAAAAAGCACAAAAACCAGTGATAACAGCATTGATTTCATTCAATGCACCATAAAGCCATGTGTCTCCTCTTTACAATGATATATCATTCATTGATATTTGGTCATGGTTGGGCGAGTAATCATTCCATTTGCAAAGTGGGCCTAAATTAGCTTGGGGCCAAGTTATAAACATCGCGAAAGTCAGTGTAGGGAGGCCGGTGCAATATTGGAAGAAAACATAAAACCAATGCTGACTGCATCCCTTTCATTCAATGTACCAAAAAGCCAAATTATTCCTCTTTGCAATGGAATATCATTCATTCACAGGGAGTCATCTCTGGCCGAATAATCATTAATTTTGCAAAGTGGGGCAAAATTCAACTCGGACCCAAGTTTTAAACATGTTATGTTATGTTATGTTATGTTATGGAAGGGAGTGTACATACACTCAAATAATGCAAAAGACATATGTCTACAAAGTT